CGGGGCGCAGCGCTGCCCGGTGCGCGTCCGAAGTGCCCCAGCCTGGCTGGAAAGCACGGCGTGGGACAGGCGGCACCGGGCGTGCGGAGCGGGTTCCGGCCCCGAAGCGACCCGGGCACCGGGCGACGCGCGCCAGCAGCAGAAGGCGCTCCGCGAGGCGCCGCCGGACGAGGGCGAACGCTGCTGCTGGGGCCGGATGCGCACCCGTGCGCAGAATGGAAGACACGGCTCCCCCCCCCGGAACCAAGGATTGAACTCAGGCCCTTGCGGGCAAGCGCTTATTCTACTGAGCCATCTCTCCGGCCCCGGAAGATAGCCTTGTCGCTTGTCCCAGTTATTTTCTTGTCAAAGAAAGGGGAGAAAACACCCAACACACATAGAAGAGGTTTGTGTGGCTCATGATGTGCTGCGGGCTTGTTGCGCAGCAAGGAGAGAGCGAGCCGGGCGGGGGAGGGGGTGCTGCGCCCCAGCAGCGAGTTGGAGGCCAAGAGCCCTGCCTGTAACCACGCCACCCTTTTAGGGGACATGTAGGTCTCAGTGGGTGTAGATCTACATGTTTACGCACACACGTACATCCCACAGTGGCAAAATCTGCCCAACAAGGTGCTGAGGAGAAGGACCATTAGAGTAGGGAGTGTTCTCTGAGGGGCGACAAGGCCCGGAGGGACGGCCAGCTGTCCTCGAGGCTTGGATGCGCTTCTCCCAAGCCCAGTCTTCCACCTGCTCAGCAGCCCCTGCGCACGGGTGGCCAGCCTGCACGGGGCGTCCTGCTCTGCAGCTCCTGCCGGGCATCTCAGGTCCTCCGTGGAGCCAGAACAGCGCGCTAGGGAGGTGGGGGACACAGGTGGGGCCCTGGGACAGCTCCTGTGCCTGTCTGACTCCTAGGTCTCAGCCTATCCATGGGGCCGAGGGTGACCAACTGCACTTTGCCCGGTGTTGGCCCAGAGAAGCGGTGGCTGCTGCGTTTGGTGCCGTGTGACCCACGAAGCCGTGGCAGGACGGCAGGCCCTCTGCTCGGTCATCATGCAGAGCGTGAGGCAGAGGCGCAGTGCAGTGCAGATGCTGGCCCTTGCCCCGAGCCCTGTGCCACTCCGGAGGAGGGGTCACAACCAGTGGCAAGGGTCACTCGAAGGGCAGAGGAGGCTCCAGGCTGGGCAGCAGTGAGGCTGGGCCCTGCTTGGCCTCTTCGGGGTCCCATGCCCCTGCTCCTGCAGTCCCCAAAGGCCGCTGGCGCAGCGCTCAGCCAGGGAGACACCAGCAGCAACATGGCCCTGTGAGTTCTGGCTGAAGCTGCCCAGATGGGGGCTTGGGGTCGGGCTCAGCCCCATCACGCAATTGAGGTCCCCCAGGGGACAGAGCCACTTCGCAGGTGCCGAGAGACCGTGCGCTGCTGCCAGTCTTCAGCACAGGGCTTCAAACTGATGAAAGGAAAAAGCAATCTAAAATTTCATACACGACACAGTGAGGTCAGGACCGGGGCCTGGTGCCTACACGGCTGCCAGCATGTGCGCAACCCTGACGGCCACAGAGGGGCTTTGCTTTACCAATGTAAAGCTCTCAGCTCCAAAGCTCCAGCCAGGTCATGATTAAGGGGCCCACTGCCATACTGGTCAGGAATTTAGAACCTCCCAGCCTCAGTTTCCCCACTGTACCACAGTGCTGTCTGTAACCTGTGTCCCTGTACGCGGGACGTCCCGTTCATTCAGTGAGTACTGGGAATCCACTGTGCGCACAGGGGAGAGAGTGATAGTGTGCGTCTAGGTCGCAGGGGTCTGGTGTGGGACATACTGGTAGGAGCCAGGTTGGCCACCCGCCTGTGTGGGCAGAGGACAGACTCTTAGGTGCCCCCGAGGTCAGGACAGGACCAGCTCTGATGCTGAGTTAGGGACACTGAGCTCCGGGCAGCAGAAGGAACGTGGGCCTGGGGCCAATGGAAAGCTGGGTCCATGTGACTGAGGAGGAGTGCCCCAGCAGTCTGGGGTCGCCTCCAGACCCAGCAGGCTTCATGGGGGTTTGCTGCTGCAGCCCAGCCTGACCATCTGTCAGTCAGTGGTGAGGTGCACAGCGAGCGCCCTCTGGGATGTGGTCTCTGGAAACCACGGAGACCACGGAGGGCAGCGTGGAGAAGCCACTGTGACACCACTGAGGCACAGGAGTGTCTGTAGGAAGCTTCGGGGGAGCGGCAGCACCCTGATAGATGTCTTGCTCTGTGTGTGAATGGTGGCAACGCTGAAGTTGTAAAACCGAGCAGTGCCTTCCACAACTCGCTTTTAGGACCCACAAGGCTCTAGAATGTGAGCCACAGGTCGTGCTGGTTGGATTCTAGAAATGCCCAGAGGAGAGCGACCCTGGCCTCACTGGGCCCTCCCTGAGTGCCTCGAAGGTCCTTCCATGCAAAGACTTTCACTTTGTGCCCCATCTTTTTTTTTTTTTTTTTTCAAATTTTCAGGACAATGAACAAAAGTGTTTTCCCCAAAGTTTTTACTGCCAGAGCGCGCAGGGAGTGCCTTGCCACAGACAGCCCAGGCCCAGCAGCCGCCCCCGCAGTTATTTCAAGTGCCAGGGAAGGCGAGGGCCCGCCCGATGTTCGGACTCGCCCTCCTCCAGACGGGCGTGTTCTTACCTGGCCACCGTTGTTATCACGCCGGAGAATCTCAGCCGAGGAGGCTGTCCGCCGCCGCATTCCACTTCCCTAGCACCTCCGTCTGCGCGCTGTCAGCGGACAAGTTCCCTCCACGTGGGACCTCATTACACTGTCACTGGACCCCTTTTTAGGGGAGGGTTGGGTTTTTCAGGCAGGCCTCCCTTTGTGGTCCCGGCTGGCCCTGGGCTCCGCAGTCTCCTGCCTCAGCCTCCCGAGGGCTGGGATCCCAGGCGAGCGCCTCCACGCCCGCTCACCGCAGCCCTCCTAGCTGAGACCGCGTGTGCCTGTGGTTCGCCATCAGGACCGGTGCTACGGCCAGAGCCGCTTCCATCGGAAACACGGGCTTCATCTTGCAAGAGATCGTTTCTAGGGGCCGATGACTGGACTATTTGGGGGAGAGACAGCAGGGATTTAACCCAAAACTGGAGTTTCATCTCTAGCCCTTAATCAAACTTTTTGTGTTCTTAATTTTTGAGGTAGGACCTCACTAAGCTCTTCAAGCCCTCATGCGAGCTCTGAACCGGAAGCCCTCCTGCTCAGCCCGCCGGAGTGCTGGGGTTGCAGGCTTGGGCCGCCACGGCCAGCCACGCGTGTGTTATTTTTTAAAGAACGGTCCTGACTTCTTCCACCCAAGGGTGAGTCCCCCGGGCCCCTGGAACCTGGTGCAGCCCTACCCTCTGCTCCCTTCCCCTAATCCCACGCGGAAAGGCGCACGGTGCTGGAGAATGGACCGGACCCGCGAGGAGGGCGGCCAAGGCCCAGCCCAGCACGCGTGTCCTCTGCTCCTGCTCACTGGGAGGCGCTGCAGGCGTCTGCACGCTCCCTCCCGCGGCCCCGGCCACAGCGTGCAGCGCCAGGCATGCCCGGCAGGTGGCAGCACCTTCCCGGGAACCGCGGGGCCGGCCTCCGCAAAGCAGTCCTCGCGCATACCGCCAGGGGGCGCCGGTGCCCACGAGTTCTCCGTGCCCGCAGCTGGAGGAGCCGGGCCGCCCCGGGCAGAGCGAACCGGGAGTGCAGGAGAGGAGCGCGGGGGGACGCGGGACACGTGGGACGCTGAGTGTCCTGAGCCGTAGTGGACCCCGCTCGCGACCCCCGACCGTGCGCCGCGGCGCAGGGAGCGGTCGGGCGCGGTTCCCCGGCGGGGTCAGGAGCGCGGTGCACGCGGCAGGGCCCGCGGGGGTCGCCGCGGAGGTGACCCGCCTTTTCACGCGCGCACACGCGCCGGGCAGGGCGAACGCGTGCTCGCCCAGGAAGCCCACAGTGCGGGGCGGCTGGTGCAGGAAACCCCGCGGAGAAGTCAGCGTTCCTGCCGCGTCTGCGCGAGAAAGACGCGTCTTCCTCCTAGTGTATTTATCATTTGAAAGAAGTATGCGAGGAGACAGGAGAAGAATTAAAAATAACGACGCTGTCTTGGGAATGTGGGTGCCGTAGAAGTCTCGAACCGTCCCCCACCTCCGCGAACCGAGGCCGGGCAGCTTTCTTTTACACTGTTTCGAAAAGCAGAGAAAAAGAGCAAGTCAGAGAAAGAACCTAGAACGCTCGTAAAAATATACCGTGTTTCCGAAGTCGAGTGTTCACGGCAGTAAGAACCTGGTTTTTGTTTTCCCTTTGATTTTGAATGTAGCAGGAGACAGGTAATAAAGCTCACCAATCGCTTCCACTGATCTTTAAAAAAATAAGAGCGAGGGCCCGGGAGATGGCTCAGTAGAATAAGCGCTTGCCTGGC